AGGCACGTATGGCTGATCCATCTATGCATCCGGGAGCCCCTCTGAGCTCGGATTTCTCCTCTCACCTGTCGCTGAATAAAGGCCATTATTTGGATTTAATCTCCAGAGAGGCAGGTTTAACCCTCTCGGGTGCAGCTTGTCCCCACACAGGGTAGGACCTGAATCACTGACCCTGTCTCCTCCTCAAACAGCCCAGGCTGGCCCTTTGCTCTCCCACACCAGGCAGCAGCTTCTCCTCCTCTCCTGTTTTCCCCTGGCTCCCACCCAGGGCTCATTCCAGGTGGACAATGTCAAAGAAGTGTTCTTAGTTCAAAAAGGAAAGGGAGATGTGGGAATCCAGAGCTTCTCTCTGGCTGCCCTGGCAGGTCTGGGACCCTGGCAGGGGTCAGGAACCCCCCTGGACAGAGCCCCCAGAGACACTGGCTGTGATCTCTGTCCATGGAAAAGAGTTTTCAATCTTACAGGATGAATTACAAGCTCTGAGTGTTTGATATAAGTAATAATTAAGTGTGGCACAGGTGCAAAAGTAAAATTTTAGGATTCTAGATAAGGGGTTCAAAGGGGACAAGATGGAGGAAATTGGGTGTGTCTTGTCCTTTTTCTCCTTCTTCATGCCCTCCATGTTTCACTGTGGTGTTGGCATTTTTCTGTTGGTTTAAGCTAGAGACACGCTGTTTAATGTAGATGATAGATATTGGCACATTATTGTAAATACAATACACGTAATTTCTAATATATAATGTCTGTAACATCCCACTGAGGGGCAGAGCCCCACACGCTGCCCTGCAGGACAAACCTACGGCAGGGCAGCAAAACATGTTAAAGACAAGCAAGAATAAACAACCTTAAAAACAACACAAACAAATTATAACTTCTTCTTTGACAAGGGGGCAAAAAACCAAAAACTTTCTACAATGTCAAAATCATCAATACCCACAAATTCCAACAAGCCTGGAGAAAAGGAGACTCAGGGGTGACCTTGTCACTCTCCACAGCTCCTGAAAGGTGGCTGAGCTCAGGTGGGGTTGGGCTCTTTCTCCAGGCAGCATTGACAGAACCAGAGGTCACAATCTCAAGCTGCACCAAGGGAAATTCAGGTTGGATATTAGGAAAAAGGTTTTTACAGAAAGGTGATAAAGTTCTGGAATGGCTGCCCGGGGAGGTGGGGGAGTCACCATCCCTGGGTGTGTTTAAACCAGACTGGATGTGGCACTGGGTGCCAGGGTTGAGTTGAGGTGTTGGGGGTGGGTTGGACCTGATGATCTTGAGGGTCTCCTCCAGCCCAGTGATTCTGTGAATTCTGTGATTCTGTGAATTCTGTGAATTCTCCAAGAGGAGAAGCAAAGGCAGGGGCACGACTGAGTGGGGTGGGAGCATGCACCCCGCTGTGCTCACTGCCTGTGTGCTGCTGTGGGGTGCAAAGCTGCTGAGGCACTGCAGCAGGACTCATTGCAGGACTCAGCCCTGCAGCAGCTCCAGCAGCTGGCTCGGGCTCCTGGAATGCCCCACGGTGCTGCAGACTGCTCAGCAGCACAGTCACAGTGGTGTTTCACTGCCTGCCAGCAACGGGCCGGGCTCTGTCACCCCCTGTGTGACCAGCAGGGCTGATCTGGGCCACCGTGCCCAGGGCTGGAGCAGTGCCCAGCACCAGCAGCTCTGGTGCTGAGAACATCAGAGCTGCTGTTCCCTCTGAGCCAGGACAGCCGAGCAGCGAGGCAGGAGCTCCCCAAAGCACATCCAGGCACAGCACGGGCTGTCCCTAAGGGTGCAAACTCTCTTTCTCCCATCTGGGAGCAGCAGCAGAGCTGGGCAGCACTTGGCCAGTGGGAAGGGGAGCTGTGCTCTGCTGGCTTTTCCCTCACTCAATCACTTCCAGGCACCAGATGTGAGCTGAAAAGCGAGACAAAAATGAATGTTTGTAAAAGGTGTCGCAAACCTTGCCAGGCCATCAGGATGTTTTCTGGGAGAGCTTCACTCACACCTCTCCAGCTCTCTGGAGCTCTGTGGGCTGGTGCAGGGACAGAAGAGGCACCACACTGGCAAACAGCCCTGTGGGGGGAGCAGGTCCAGGGTTTCTCCTGGACTGAGTGCTGTTGGCTTTTCCCAGGGGTTCAGCCCTTCCCCTGTGCCCGTGCTCCCTGGCCCCTGCACCAGCACACGGTGGGAAGCAGCAGCCCACACGCCATTTCCCGGCCTTCTGACCCAAACTGCCCTCTCCTGACTGCCAAGGGCTGCCCAGCTTTGCTCCAGCACCCAGGCTTGGCTGATGGCTCTGCCTGAGCCCAGCACTGACTGGGACCCTGGCGACCATCCCTCTCCCCCCCCTGCCCCGTGGCTGTCAGCCCTGCAGAGGGTTGGCTTTTTTGGGGTAAGGATGATCACAAACATTTCCAGGCACCCTTTGCTCCAAAGCCTGTGAGCCCCAAACCCACCCCACACCTCAGCCCTGCTCCATCCCAGCTCCTGCCCAACGCTGCTGTCATCCCTTCACCCTTCCTGCCACTGCCTGCCCTCCTCCCTGCCCTGCTCCTGGCTCCTTCCCCTCCTTGCTCCCTTGCAGGCAGGTTGCTGCCTCCCTCCCTCCCTCCTTCCCTCTGTCCCTGGGGCGTCACGGTCCCTCTCCCGTGGGGACAGCCCAGGGCACGCTCTGGCTCAGCACTGGCAGAGGTTTGCCCCTGGCACGCTCCAGTTCCTGCGGGTGCAGAATGTGCCCTGGCTGCAGGATCCAAACTCCACCTGCATTACAAAATGCCACAGATGGCTCCTGGGCACTCCCACGAGCCATCTCAGCCCCACTGGGCAGGACACAGGGCATTTCTGGGGGCTCACCCATCACTGTCCCCATCTCCAAGTGCCTGTAAATAGAAGTCTTTCCCTGGGGGAAACACAGACTGAAAGAAATTTTTTTTTTTGGGGGGGGCAATACCTGACCCAAGCTGGCCAACCTTGAAAAATTCAGAATTTAGGGACATTACTGTGAGCACAAAGGGCTGCAGTGGAAAACAAGTCACTGTGTTCATCCTTCCCTGCTCAGTCCCCCGTGCTTTGCTTTCCTTGCTGTCAGGGGCCATAAGCTCATAGGGAACGAGCTATCCATGCAAAAGGCCTTTGGAAATATTCATTGCTCATCTCCTAACAAGATTACCCTGAAATCCTCCATTGCTCTGAGGGAGATTTAAAACCTCTCAGGCTCTCGGTAACCATAGCAGCACAGATGTGAGAGCTGAGGGGAGACAAGTGATGTGAAAAGCCACGGGGGCTGCAGAGCCCGGCTCTGTGTGCCAGGGCGTGACTGTACCCACAGTGCCACAGCTCTTTGTCTCAGAGCCCAGGCTGGCCCTCACCCTGCCCACACCTGGCAGGACACTTCCACCCCTGCAGGAATGACCCAGACCAAGGGCAGTGTGGTGATGTGACCCTGTCCTGGCTCCCACAGTGCCAGGGCCCCCTTCCCAAGCCCGGCTTTGGGAGCCCTCTGTGGATGGCACTGCTGCCTGGCATCCTTCCCTGGGTGCCAGCAATAAAGGGGATGGTTTAGAGTCAGGATGGGGTGCTTGGAGCCTGGGGTTCCCATTCCTTCCTGCCATGGGTTCCTCCTTCACCCTGGGCATCCTTTCTGCAGCTGTGAGAGAGATGCTGGGTGTTGTGAGATTGAACAGATCCATGTTTTGAGGCCTTTTGGAATGAAATGCTGGGAAAACGAGCAGCAGCACGGGCACCACAGCCCCCCAGCACATCCTGAGAGCCTGCAGAGTTCTGCTGTAGCAGCTGGGAGGGACTGTGGGAAACCCTTTCCATCTCTCTTGAAAGCCAAACACAAACAGGCATTAACCAAATTCTTTCTTATTTAAAGAAAATAGGGGTTTGACTTTAAAAAGCTTCCAAGGGCTGGCTTGAGATTACTTGTTCTGCCCTGCTGCCTTCAGCTCCTCATCTCCACTGCCACCAAACCCCCATCACTGCTTCTTTCATGCACCCTCTGCTCATCCAGCCCTTCTCCTGGTTTTCAGCCTGCCATCAAATCTGCATCCCCAGCTCCTTCCAGCTCCCACAGCTCAGTCCTTGACATTTGGGATCTCCTCATGGCTCAGGAAGCGTCCCCAGAAAGATCTTCATGTTGTGAGGGAAGGTGCAGCCCCAGGGGCACTGAACACCAATCCCACTGTCAGTCCTGCTGGGGACCCAACCTTTCCCTTCTCCCAGGGCAGGACTCTGCTCTTCCTGATATAATCTCTTGGCTTCCTGATAATAAAATTAGCTGGGAAAGCTCCTAACATGGCTAAAATGTACGATAACTGGAGAATTAAAAGGCAGGAATAATTCCAGTGAAAAGGGTTTTGGAATCAACAGAACAAATTCATCCAGAACTGAATTCTGAACTGATACTTTGCTATGGAAGGAAAACCTGTGTTAAAGCCCCAAAACCCCACACATCCACAAACACAGGTGAGAAACTTATTTGAACTTCTGTGCAAGCTCCCTTTGTGTTTGCACTTTGCATGAATCAGCTTCTGAGACAGCTCCAGCACGGGATGGAAGGTGAGTGCTGAGCAAACACACCTGGATGGGGCAGCCTGAAGCTCCAGAGCAACCCCACTCCTGGGTCAGGGCTGCTGCTCCCCGTGGCTGCCGGCATCTGCTCCCGGAGAGCGCCGTGCATCGTCTTCACGGAGATTTTATTTCCCCCTGTGGTTAAATATTTCACAAAAATCACTGGTAACTGACAGCTGAATGAGGAGGTTATGACAGATGGGAGAGCTTATTTTCCCCCTCCAGCCAAATATTTCATCGCTTCACTGGAGGTTTGGGCACGTTCGCAGCGACTCTGTCTGCAAAGGAGTGCCCAGCCCTGGGCAGGCGCAGGAAACGCCGCAGGTGCCGCTGTCCAGCGCCTGGCCACGAGCCACGCCAAGGGTGGGGATGGCCACTGAGTGTCCCCCTGCCAGCGAGGCCAGGCCAAGCAGCTCCTGGCTCTGTGGGGAGCTGGCGGTGCTGGACAGCCGCGGTGCTGCCGGCTCCCCGCGCTCCCGGCAGCGATGCAGCGCTGCAGGGCTGGAGTGGCTTTCCAGGACTGAACTCTGCGGATTGGCCCGGAGCACCCCGCTCTCCTCCCTCCCTGCCCTCCCTCCTCCAGCACCCACAACCCACAGAGATTGGACAGCTTGGTGCCACATGGCAGAGAGGAACCAGCATAAAAAAATGAGCCGGGCTCGGGGGTTGTAGAGTCCGCGGCAAAGCAGGCGGGAGAAGTTTGCGGAGCGGTGGCACCAACATTCCCCGGCTGCGCTGAGTCAGTGCAGGGAGGACAGACAGACAGACACACACAGGGGCTGCAGTCACCCAGGGACACCTGCGGGGTGAGCACCAGCTGCGGAGCATCCTGTCCCCTCCGTGCCAGCCATGTCCCTGGTGGGGAAGGAGAAGAACCACGTCCGGTTGGTTTTCCTGGGAGCCGCCGGCGTGGGCAAGACCTCGCTCATCCGCCGCTTCCTGATGGACACCTTCGAGCCCAAGCACCGGCGCACGGTGGAGGAGCTGCACAGCAAGGAGTACGAGGTGTGCGGGGCCACGGTCAAGGTGGAGATCCTGGACACCAGCGGCAGCTACTCCTTCCCGGCCATGAGGAAGCTCTCCATCCAGAACAGCGACGCCTTCGCCCTGGTCTACGCCGTGGATGACGCCGAGTCCTTCGAGAGCGTCAAGAGCCTGCGGGAGGAGATCCTGGAGGTGAAGGAGGACAAGTTCCCTCCCATCGTGGTGGTGGGCAACAAGGCGGAGAGCGGCGGCGAGCGGCAGGTGCCGGCGGAGGACGCGCTGTCGCTGGTGGAGCTGGACTGGAACAGCCGCTTCGTGGAGACGTCGGCCAAGGACAACGAGAACGTCCTGGAGGTGTTCAGAGAGCTGCTGCAGCAGGCCAACCTGCCCAGCAGGCTCAGCCCCGCGCTCTGCAAGAGGAGGGAGACGCTGCCCAAGGAGCAGGCGCTCAGGCCGCCCATGAACAAGACCAACAGCTGCTCCGTGTGCTGAGCGGCCGCCCGGGGCCCGGGGAAGGCACCGGCACCGGCACCGGCTGGAAACTCAGGTGGGCTGGGTGGGAGAGGCACTGCCTCGGCCAAAACCTCCCCTGCTGCCTCCCACCCCTCAACCCTCCTCTTCCCCACCCAGCCCACAGGAGCGGAGGGTTGGCGAGAAGGTGGGATGCCGGATGGGTGTGGGGAATTCCCAAAAAAGCAGGAGGAGGCTCACCTGGGGAGCAGCCGTGGGTCAGCCAGGGCGCTGAGGGGGAGCTGGCAGGCACGGGCAGGGGGGACCAACGCCAGGGCTCTGGCAGATGTGGGCACCAGCCCTGCCAGCGCTGCTGTCCCAGGGCGCTCAGCTCTGGTGTCACCTCGTCCCAAGCATCTCCAACCTCCTGGCATGGCTCTGGCACCCACAGCACATCCAGTGTCCGAGCAGTCCCGAGTCTGTACCTGCTGTAGAGCATGTGATAGGTTGGTCTGTGCATCAGTTTGGTTTTCTCTGTTCTCTTTCTGTTTGAGTTGTTTGTCTTTTTTTTAAGCATTCCCAATAAATTGTTGCAAAGTGGAGCTGGAAAATGTCTCAGTTTCTTTCTCCTGTATTTCAGGTGCTGCAGTGCTTGCTATCAGTGTTTTATCTTCTTATCACTGCATTTTGCCTTCCCTCCTCTGTGCTCCAGCCTCATGTGGAGTATCCTGGCACTGGAAGAGCCTCCCCTGGCACTGCCAGGACATTCAGGGTTATAATTTTTCTAATAATTTACCCACACTGAAGTTTTTACCAGGCAGCAGAGACCAAGAATAAAACACCTTCTCACCTCTGAGTGCAGAAAATAACATCCATCCATTAAAAGGCAGCTGATCCACTGAAACAAAAACACAAACATGTTAAAAGGAGATAATAAACGGCACAGGGGGAGGCACAGAAGAGCTGTGTTTGCTGTTCTGAGTGTGCCCTGAACTGATTTACCCTCCCCTCACACAGCCCAGCCTGGCTGTAATGAGCACTTAACCTCAGCAGCCACACACACACACACCAGAAATAGAGATATCAAAGCTTGATGGATTAAAGAGTCACCCCCCAGATCCTGACCCTGATGGGCAGTCTGGGGTCTTTCAGAAGCCCAGCACTACAGGATGGTGGCTCCCTGATCCGCTGGGGAGGCACCTGGGCATTCCAGCCCCTTCCCAGAGGAGCAGGTGCCAGCAGGGAGAGCCCGGCCTCCCCTTGGGCATCACCTGCTGGGACACCCAGCGCAGGGACAGGCAGCAGAGGGGACAGGCAGGTGCCACCAGGACCTGCTGTGGTGCTCAAGTTGCCCTCACCTCTGTCTCAGAGCCGAGTACCTCGTGCTGGCACCATGACTCTGCCCAGGTGTGTGGCTGTCCCTTGCCCAGCAGAGCTGCTCAGGATGGAGCCTTTCCTGGGGAAAAGGGGCTCCTGCCTGCAGGGAATGAACGGGAGCAGCTCACTTTGGGCAGCTGACCCGACGTGGTGCCCCCCACCCGTGAGGGATGCAGGCACAGGGATGTGCCCACCAGCCAGGGATGTCCCTGCCAGCCCTGCCCACACTCAGACCCAGCCAGGGGTGCCACAGCCATGCAGTGCTCCCAGCCCTCACCTCACCCTGCAGCAGTCCCGCAGCTCCCAGGGCAGTTTTGGTTTGGGTGATGCAGGATCGGGAGCACCGGGCCCTTGGGTTCACAGCACTGTGCTAAAAACAGAAGGGAAATCTCTCTGCAGCGTGAAAAGAGGGGGCTGGGATGGGCAAGGCTGGCTGCCAGCCCCTCCTGTGAGGTCCATGGAGCCTGGAAACAGCTCCTCTTGGGGACCCCCAGGGCCTCCCCAGGCTCAGGCTGGCAGAGCCCCCCGAGCTCCTCCCCTGTGCCCCACCTCTGCCTCCCTGGGCAGAGCAGGAGCCCCCGGGGGCTCCAGGACCCCAAATCCCAGCCCAGCCCCAGCCCAAAACCTGCGGGGTACAGCAGCCACTGCTCTGCAGACGGGATCCTGAGCGAGATGCTGCAGCAGATGCAGCAACAGAGACATTGGAGGTGCAGGAGATGCACAGGAGGTGTCGGAGCTGCAGGAGGAGGTGATGGAGCTGCTGATGAAGGTGCAGGAGCTGCAGAGGGACACGCGGGAGATGCTGGAGGTGCAGAGGGACACACAGGAGATGCTGGAGGTGCAGAGGGACACGGAGGAGATGCTGGAGGTGCAGAGGGACACGCGGGAGGTGCTGGAGGTGCAGAGGGACACGCTGGAGGTGCAGAGGGACACGGAGGAGATGCTGGAGGTGCAGAGGGACACGCGGGAGATGCAGGAGGTGCAGAGGGACACACACGAGGTGCAGGAGCTTCCCACCCAGGTCCCGGACCTTCTCCTCGGACCCACCTCCTGCCCCTGCAGCTCCAGCAAAGAGCGGAGCCATTGGAGGAGCCCTCAAGCACCCATTGCCCCTCGCCCAATGCCTGCCAGCCTTGTACAGCCCCTCCCGGGGCCGCCCCCAGCCCCATTTCCCCCGGCCGGGCAGGGCAGGGGCTCGGGGCAGCGCCCAGGGGCGGTGGGGTAGGGATAAAGGGATGGTGTAGGGATGGTGTAGGGATATAGACATGGTGTAGGGATAAAGGGATGATGGATGCAGGGATGGTACAGAGCTGAAGGGGAAATGGGGTGCAGGGATCCCCAGCCCTTCAGCTCCCACATGCACAGCCCCTCTCTGGGCATTGTGGGTTTGGGAGAAGGGGTTTCATCGCTCCCAAGAAATGCTGTGGCAGGGGTGGCTCTGCTGGGTTGTGGTCACCTTGCTCAGACCTTGGTCAGGCAGCTCTGGCTGTGTGGGGCTGGGGTTGGCCATGGCAGGACAGGAGCCTCGGGATGCCTCGTCCCCGAGGCTCTGTGTGAGGTGCAGGGTGAGGCTGGGCTGCAGGGGGCTTGGAGGGCAGCTCCAATATCACAGTGCCCCCAGAGCAGTGCCTGAGGCCTGTCCCAGAGGATCTGTGCCAGGCTCAGTGGGTGTCAGCCCTGTGCCATTGCCACTGCGCTGTCCTGGCAGCAGTGGCTGCTCCCCTCATCCCATCCCCAGGGCTGGAGGGGTTTCATTGCCTTTTACTTTATTTGAATAAAGGGAGAGGCCATGGGGCACTCCCCTGGGGTCTCTCCAATTTTTGGAGGACGCAGCCTCCTTTTTATCCCAATTTCTCAGCCACATTTATTTCCCTTCTCTTCTCCCCCATTGGCTGAGGTACTTGAGAGATACTGACTCTCTGAAATGCCTGATACCAAAGATTTCCCTCTGATGTAGAACCCTCCCTTTTAATTGTTAATTTTTATGGAATTTAGGGGGTTCCCCCATTGTTTCTTTCATCTTTCAACATCCAATCCCATTTATCAGCAAACCTACAGCTTGTCTGTAAAGCCAAATATATATATATAATTTTTTTTTCCATTCATCACTCAGCGGAACCCTCCCCATCATTTCTTTCCTCTCTCAGTGCTGGTTTTATGTGCCAGCAGACCCACAGCTTGTTTGTGAAGGCAAATCCCTCGTTCCTCTCAGCACCGTGTAGCACATCCCATGGAAGGGCACAAACAACCGGGGGAGAACGGGAGCAGCAGCAGCTCCAGCCAGGGCAGGGAGCAGCGGCCACCCTAATTAGGGCTCTCCTAATTAGCGCTGCCTGCTGCACTTTGCTCAGCCCCTGATTGATGGGCGGCCTCGGCACCAACACCCACGCCGAGGACACCCGAGGGCAGAGGAAAACATTTTAAACCCCAAAGCGGCACTTACACGTTGAGGGGGTGATTAAAGGTGTTTGTCTTTAGGAGATTTGGCCGAGCGAGGCGCAGCGCCGGGGAAACGCTGAGTGCTCTGGAGAGAGCAAACCTCATCACATGAGCCCCATTAGGGCTCTCCCGGGCTGGGATTCGGGGAATCGCGGAGTTGTTTAGGTTGCAAAGGCCCTGGAAGGTCGCCGAGTTCCCTGTGCTGGAGGGGACAGCGGGAGCATCCTCGGGCTGCATCCCGGGCGGGCAGCACCTCCCGGCTTCAGCCTGAGAAACGCTCCAGAGAGGCTGGAACCGGGGCAACCGGCCTCTTCTCCCGGGTAACGAGTGAAGGATGAGAGGGAACAGCCTCAAGTTTCTCCAGGGCAGGTTTAGATGGGATATTGGGGGAAATTTCTTCTCCAAAAGGTTTGTCCAGGGCAATGGTGGAGTCACCATGGCTGGGGGGATTTAAAGGATGGATGGACGTGGCACTTGGACATGGGTTAGAGGTGGGCTTGGCAGGGCTGGATTTCCTGGCCTCGGGGTTCTTTCCCGGCCCTGGTGATTCCATGACTGGATCCGAGCACATCTCGTGCTCCGGGCTTGCCTTGCTCTCCTCGGCTCACCCTCTGCTCGCCGTGGAACCCGAGCAGCGCGGCCCCAGCAGCCTCCATGCAGCACACGGAGCTCCCCGGGACACAGAATCCACCCGGGATTGTGGCCAAGAGAAGAATTTTATAAAGAAATTCCCAAAATCCGGCCGGGGCTGGGAGCGGCTCCCGGGCACCACCCTGTGGGCACTCCGGGAATTGCAGCCGGGGCGGGACTCGGTGACCCCTGCGGGCCTCGCGGTGACCTCCAGTGACCACCAGTGACCACCGAGCCCTGCAGTCCCTGACCTCTGTGACCACTGATCCCCGGTACTGCCGACCACTGTCACCATCAATCCCCCGGGACCACCGACCCCTGGGGCCACTGACTGTGGGAATCCAGAGCTTCCCTCTGGCTGCCCTGGCAGGTCTGGGACCCTGGCAGGGGTCAGGAACCCCCCTGGACAGAGCCCCCAGAGACACTGGCTGTGATCTCTGTCCATGGAAAAGAGTTTTCAATCTTACAGGATGAATTACAAGCTCTGAGTGTTTGATATAAGTCATAATTAAGTGTGGCACGGGTGCAAAAGTAAAATTTTAGGTTTCTAGATTAGGGGTTCAAAGGGGACAAGATGGAGGAAATTGGGTGTGCCTTGTCCTTTTTCTCCTTCTTCATGCCCTCCATGTTTCACTGTGGTGTTGGCATTTTTCTGTTGGTTCAGGCTGGGGACACACTGTCCAACGTAGGTGACAGATATTGGCACGTTATTGTAAATCCAGCACAGGTAGTTTGTGGTATTTAATGTTTGTAACATCCCACTGAGGGCAGAGCCCCACACGCTGCCCTGCAGGACAGAGCTGCGGCAGGGCAGCAGAACATGTTAGAGATAAACAGAATAAACAACCTTGAAACCAGCACAGATGAATTATGGCTTCTGCTTTGGCAGCGGGGCTGACAGACAGAGACTTTCTACAATCTCGGAATCATCAATAGCACAGATTCCGACAACTGACCCCTCTCATCAATGACCCCTGCCACCACTGACCACAAGATCATCAATCCCCTATGACCACTGACCTGTGTGACAATTGGATCCCTGTGACCACTGACCCCTGTGAAAACCAGCCCCTCTGACTGACCCCTGTGCCCACCAGCCCAGTGTGCCTCAGGCATGGGGCCACAGCAGATTTCTTCCCTGGACAGAACAGATTGCAGGAGCTCAGGGAACCACCCACTGCAGGGCTCGAAGTGTTTGCAAAGAGGATTTACAGTCCTCTGCCTTTTAATTGGCAGCTCAAAGCTCAGCATGCTGAGCTTTGCTTGACACAAAGGCTTTTCAAAACCAAGAGGCTCCAAGTGAGGAGCCCCAGGTGCTCTGCACACACCTGTGCTCATGCCCTGCATCCTTCAGGTCTCCAGGCAGCCCTCAGGAGAGCTCTGATCCTGTAGCTCACGGTTGTGCCTTCACAGAACAGGGCTGCTGCAGAAAAAGAGAGGAAAAGTGGGGTTTGTTTTGTTCCCCTGGCACAAAGCTGTGCCTTGAGCTGTGGAAGGGCAGTGTCACCCTGAGCCTGGGAGGGCAGAGTGGCTCCTGGGGCTGGGCAGCGCCACCAAAACCACAGGAATCTCCACTCCAAGCAGTGACTGCCCAGCTTTTCACTGCAGAGCTGATCATCCCCGTTCTGGCTCTGGCCTTAATCCCAGGGCAGCAGAATCCAGCATTGTCTGTGCTGTAGAAACCCTGATGTCCCTCATGCTGCAGCCTTGGAACCCACGGGGAC